CAAACCCAGGCTCAGCGCCCCCAGGCACAGCACCCTCAATCTCAGCACCCCCAGGTCCCGCACCCCCAGGCTCAGCGCTCCCAGTCTCAGCACCCCCAGGCTCCGCACCCGCAGGCTCAGCACCCCCAGTGTCAGCACCCCCAGGCGCAGCACCCCCAGACTCAGCACCCCCAGGCTCAGCACCCCCAGTGTCAGCACCCCCAGGCTCAGCACCCCCAGACTCCGCACCCCCAGGCTCAGCACCCTCAGTGGCAGCACCCCCAGGCTCAGCACCCCCAGCAGTACCACCCGCAGCAGCACCTGAGTCACCTGTGACCTCGACAGGCTCAGCGACGGGAGGAGGGTCTACCTGAGAGACACCTGAAGGAGCAGGACCCTGAGGGGGAAGGGGGTCTAGCGGAGGGGGACCTGGAGCGAGGAAAAGCGGCGGGGGAGGGAGGGGGGCAGTGCGGTAGGGGAAGAGACGGTAAAAGGGGACCGACTCGTCAAAGGTGACGTCCTGAGACGCAAAGACACGGCGCGAGGTGGGGTGGTAAAACTGCCAGCCAGGCGCGTCAGGGACAAAGCCAAGGAAGACGCAGGGAACGGCACGGGAGGAGAGCTTGTCCGCGGACGTATTGCGGACAAGGGCTCGGCATCCCCAGACACGGAACACCGACGCATCGCCAACCTCCCCCGTCCAACGCAGTGTGGGCGAGGTCTCTGGAGCAGAGACACGGGGCCAAAGGTTGAGCTGATGCGCAGCGTACCGCACTGCAAACGGCCACAGGAAATGGGGGGCAGCCGCATGGATCATGGAGGTACGAGCGACCTCCATGACTAAACCAATGCGACGCTCAGCAACCCCATTCTGCTGTGGGGAGTCCGGAAGAGTGAAAGTCTGGCGGATGCCGTGCTCCGCACAGTAGGCAGCCAGGAGGGCGGCAGAAAACTCACCACCTCTGTCAGAGTGCAGACGTAGGACGGGAAAGTCCGACTGGAACCGCTGGCGGAGCTGGAGACGAGTAGCGCGGATCCAAGGGATCAAAACATCAGGGACCTCACCCTTGGTGCGCAAGGGGAAGACCGTGGTGTAGCGCGAGTAGTCGTCGACGACCAGCAGGAAGTACCGCTCGTGGCCCTGTCCCCGGACGCGGGCTGGGCCCCACACGTCCAGGTGAAGAGTCTGCAAAGGAGCCTCTGTGGGAGGAAACGAGGAGGAGTGAGGAGTGGCGCGCTGCCGCCCCTCGACACAGGGAAGACATGGAGGAGCAGGCGAGGGTGGGAGGGGAGGGAGAACTCTGGGAAGACCAGAGACAAGGTAACGGGAGTGGCTGCACAGAGGGGTGACCAAGGCGGTGGTGCCAGAGGACGGTCTGGTGCGACAGGGAGCGACACGAGCAGGGAGCCGACAGCTGACCTGACGCAGACGCAGACGCAGCTACCTGAGGGGACTCAGTGGTCAGTGTGTACAGGTCGGACCCCGGCTGCCGAGTGAAGGTAGCCAGGTGGCGACCCGTCCGAGCACACGTACAGTGGGTCACCCGCTCATAGGCAGGGGTGAACTGGTGAACACCCCCGTCCTGGAGAGCAGAGCCCGCCACCAAGTTCGTAGAGAACGAGGGGAGGTAAAGACCCGACAAAGTGCCAGACGGGGCCGCAGGACAAGGGAGGACAGTGGAGGAGGTCGCAAGGACCGGGCCCCCAGAGGGGTCAGCAAGGGAGACAGCAACAGGCCGAGCGAGTGGCTCAAGGACTGTGCGGTCACGAAAGAAACAGCGGGAAGCACCTGAGTCCAGGGTGAAGGTGTGCAGTGCTGTAGCAGACTCAGTACCAGCAGACGCAGACGCACTAGCACCTAGCGCAGCAGCCATACCAGTACCAATACCTGGGTCAGGCGGCACACTCAGGTAACAGTCACCCTCAGCACTAATAGTCAATGCATACATGGCAGCAAGGATAGCATCATAATCAAGAGCAAAGATATCAATTCCCTTCCTAAGCAGATCAGCCCAGCGAGGCAGCTCAGAGGCGTCAGGGAACTGCTCGCGCCAGGCGTCATCGAGGCGAGAGAAGCAGCGCTGTGTCGGGTGGAACCTCCCACAAGTCTGGCCAGCGCGATCACCTGTGCGGATGACGTACGAGCAAATGCCCCCACCCCCAGACCCCCCACGCTGAGAGTACCACTCACGAAGCTGCTGGGGCGAGGGAGTCTCGCCAGGACGCTGCTGCGGCTGCCTCGGACCACCTCCGAACCCCCCAAGCTGCACCGCTCCACCGCGCCCGCCACCCGCTCCACCACCGCCAGTACCGCCACCACCTCCTCCCCCACCCCCACCCCCACCACCGCCGCCGCCGCCACCACCCCCTGCGCCGCCACTGACCCCCCCACCACCCGCGCCACTCCCACTTCCGCCACCACCCCCGCCCCCCCCACCCCCTCCACCGCCGCCGCCCCCACCTCCACCTCCACCACCCCGACCCCCCTTGCCCTTGCCGCTCTTGCGCCTCCCACTGGGAGCAGACGCAGTCCCGACTCCCTCAGCACCGAGGTAGTCGACAGCAGCAGCAGATGCAATGGAGGGGAGGAGGGGGGAGGGGGAGCACCCTTCAAAGAAGGGGGTGCGGGGGTCACCACGAGAGGCACCTACAGCTACAATACTCTTCTCAGCTGCTAGGAGTTCCTTCTCGAGGAGGTCGACAGTGAGGTCAGTGGGGGAGAGAGCGAGAAACTGGTCCCTGACAGTGCGAAGGGAGTCAGGGAGGCGGGTGACAAGGTGGTACAGTGTGAGGTACATCGGGGGGGGGTTCTTGGCGAGGAAATCGGAGGGGAGGGCGGCACGGTAGCGGAGGTCACTGGTACGGAGGTGGGTGATGAGGTCAGCGACAGTGGCAAAGGCGGACAGGTCGGGAAAGAGGTAGGGCAGTGAGAGACGGCCTATAGTAGCAGTGGCAGGGGAGGAGTAGCGCGCGACTACGGCGTCGTACAGTTCCTTGGCGGTCTTATGCTGGCCAAAATGCTCGCGCTCATCTAACGGCAGGTGGCTGCGAACGGCTAGGCGAGCGTGAGCGTCACGGGTCTGCCACTGCGAGCGCAAGGTGCTATCAGCATCGGCGACAGAAGCGGGAGCGGCGCCGGACGTGTGTTCATAAAGAGAAATATCGTCCTTGGCGGTGATCTGAAGGTAGAGGTGAAGGTCATCGAGCCAAACATCGAACTTAATAGGACGACCCTCAGCGTCAAAGGTAAGCACAGTAGGACTGGCCATAGTAGCAGTAGCAGGAGGAGGAACAGTAGCAGCAGGAGCAGTAGCAGTAGGAGCAGTAGCAGGAACAGTAGATGCTGCAGGTGGGGCACAGCAGGGCGGCGCGGCTCGGTCTAGGCGGCGCAGCTCGGTCCAGGCGGCGCGGCTCAGTCAGGGCGGCGCGGCTCAGTGAGGGCGGCGCGGCTAGGTCTGGGGTGCGCGGTGCGCTTGGACAGGCAGGGCGACGCGACGGCGAGCCTGGGCGGCCGCGGCGGCTGTGCGCGGGCTGCAGTTGCGCGCGGGCGGCGGTCTGCAGCAGCGACGCGGCGGCGAACGGGTGGCTAGCGGGCTGCTCGTGGGCGGCTGCGGCGGTGCGGGCGGCTGCTGGGTCGCGCGCGTCAGAAACAGGCCGCGCGCCGGCGGCTAGCGGGCTGCGCGGGCAAAAAACGGGCCGCGCGCGGGCGGCTAGCGGGCTGCGCGGGCAAAAAACGGGCCGCGCGCGGGCGGCTAGCGGGCGACGCGGCAGCAAAGCGGGGCGCTCGAGGGCGCCCTAGGAGCGAGGCGCACGAGGGCGCAAGGTGGGGAAGGCGCACGAGGGCGCTACTAGCGGAACGGTGGGCCCGTAGGAACGGTCGGTCCTAGGTTCCTAACCTAGGCTCGTAATACCATGTCAGAATGAGAGAAGTGTGTGCACTATGAGAAGTTGGGAGTACAAATACAAAACCCTAGAATTGTGTACCCCCTAGAGGCTAACCCACTGTAACCTACACAACAACAACAAAAGAATAATGTTTGACAGCCTCCTGATTGGGGTCTGAACCACTCGCATGACTGACGCGCCTATACCATGTACAGTAGTGTATGAAATAGTTCAAATTCGGTATTTTAGGTTAATAAATATTGGAATTTTTTAAATAAACAGGGAAGAAGGGGGGTCTTATATTAAATGGGGTCAAAACACGGGTCCACTACAGGACTAACATAATAAAGGACCCTTGGTCCGGATAAAGGACCCAGGGGCTTGTACGCGGGGGGGGTCTTCTTGCCGGGAGATTACGGTACAATGGGCAAATTGAGATCTACAGTTTGGTGCAGAACAAACTTAATTTCATTTTTGCCATTTTATAGACGCCAGCACTTATAAATTTCCTCGATTATAAGTGCACCCCCTAAAAAACAGTGTTTTATTACAACCCCAGGGGCGCTTCTATCCGGGGTATGACGGTAGGCTCAGGAGGCAGGTCAGGAGGGCGCGGAGGCTCGGGAAGGTCTCCGGAGGCGTGCGCCCAGAGCGTGTCACCGTCTATGAAGGTACAGCTCGGCGCGGAGGAGCCAGGTCGGAGAGTCTAGCGCTCTACCCTCCGCATCGAAACGCAAAACTCGAGCGGCCGCCATGGCAACGAAAGAACTAGGGACGAACGGCTAGGAACAACGGGAGCTCAAGACGAATGCAGTCAGGAAGGCTAGGCTAGTAGCGACAATGACATGAATGCGCCCTAGGGACGCCCTAGGCAACTCGAATGCGGCTGCCAGCCGCTGCTAGGGACGCCGATCGTAGGAGGCGGTTGGTAGAAGGTAGGAACGAGTGAGAGGGAGTTTGCAGCTGCTGGCACGGTACATCCTCTAGTGATCACATCTGTTACGATACACGCTGTTCGCTGCTAGTAACTAGTGGCAGTCAAGAGCTGTAAATCCACAATTCTACCTAGTGTCCCGCATGCATGCATGCATTTTGAGCGCAAAGGCCTTCAACCAGCAGCGGGCAATGCTGGAGTGTCACTGCTTGGCGTCAGCGTCCGCCTTGCCCCTGGCGCGGCGCAGGCGCTCCTTCTCCTCCTCCACCTGCGCCAACATGGCCTCCAGCTCCGCCTCCGGCATCGCCTCCAGCCGCTTCTGCTCGCCCCCACCCCACCCACCGTCATGTCACGGTGGTCAGTGGGTGGTACGGGGGAAAGAGATGGGAGATCGAAATGAGTGACAGGATGGGTAACAGAAATGGATGACCAAATCGGTCATTGAAAAGAGTGAATCAATCAGGTTGGTTAGTATGGGTGATGGGATGGGTGATGGGATGGGTGATGGGATGGGTGATGGGAAGGGGTGATGGGAAGGGGTGATGGGAAGGGGTGATGGGAAGGGGTGATGGGAATGGGTGTGCAGCGGCATGCAGAGGGGCGGTGGAGTGACGGACCTTCATGACGGCGTCCTCATAGTCCTTGAGCTGCTTCACATACGTCATCTCCTTGTTGCCCACTCGCCACACGTAGCTGGCCGCCCACACCAAGCACAGCCCCAACACCAGCACCAGCTGCACCACGCTGCCCGACTGGAACGAGTCAAACCCCGCCAACTGACCACCAGGGGGGGATGGGGCGAGGGCAGATGAGGATTGCTCACGTCCCCAGGGCGTAACAAACGAATGTGAGAAAGAGAAAAGACGAAAGAAGAAAAAAAAGAAGATAGAAAGAAATAAAGAGTATATACCAAAATCCGAAGGAACTTGGCACTGTACCGAATTCACCCTGCCGTGCTACCTGTGTCACCTGCAGCCGTCCTCACCTCGAGGCCGTACTTGAGGGCGACCCCAGCGACAGTGATGCCGACGCCGATGAGAATCACGTCCAGCCGCGTGTAGCCGAAGGGCGGCTGGGGGATGCACCGCCACGCCATGCCATGCCATGCCATGCCATGCCATGCCATGCACACACGGGAGAGGGAGAGGGAGGGCGGGTGGGATGGGACGCAGGGGAGCGGAGGATGTGCGGATGGTACCCCATCATGGCGCCCCCTCCCTCCCTCCCTCCCTCCCTCCCTCCCTCCCTCCCTCCCTCCCTCCCTCCCTCCCTCCCTCCCTCCCTCCCTCCCTCCCTCCCTTTCTCCCTCCCTCCCTCCCTCCCTCCCTCCCTCCCTCCCTCCCTCCCTCCCTCCCTCCCTCCCTCCCTCCCTCCCTCCCTCCCTCCCTCCCTCCCTCCCTCCCGCGCATCTCACACTGCCCTCTGGCTTCTCTGGTTGCGCCTCTGCCCGCACGCCGTTCCCCCTCTTCCCCGACGCCCCAAGCCCCACTCTCCCCTGCTCTCCGATGTGCGCCCGGCGGGGGAGAAGCGGAGGCGCGCGTTGGGAAAAAAGAGGCGGACGCGGAAGGAATGCGGAGCGTAGGGGCGCGGCGGCGGGAGAAGCGACGCGTGCTGGAGGCGGACGGGAGAGACGGGGTAGAGGGGAAATAGCAACCTGAGATGGAGGAAAAACCAAGGGTTGGCAAGATGAAAGACCATTTATGGCGGAAGGCTCGGAGCGAACTTGCGCAGGATAGGAGGCAGCGCGCGCCGCGTGGTCGAGCGAGGTGCGACGCGAGGCAACGTCGGAAGCGACGCACGGCAGACAGGTGGTCGAAGCGGACAGGTGGTCAAAGCGGACAAGTGATCGAAGCGGACAGGTGGTCGAAGCGGATGGAATGACGAAAACGAAGGAGCGTTGGGAGCGCGGGGGAAGGCGAGCGGTGGCGCGAGGTGGCTGACCTGTGGCGCTGATGGAGTAGGGCAGCAGAGACGAGGCGGCGCCGATGACGAGAGCTGCAGCCATGGCGGCAATGAGAGTGTTGAAAGTGGAGATGGTGGAGCTAGGGCAAGAAAAGTCGGTAGCTAGGCACGCTTTAGCGCGTACACCTGCTTCCCAAAAATGACCTCTGACTGGACTTCGAATGTGCCTTGAACGGACTAACAACTTGCATTGTATCGACTCAACCCCGAGACACATTGTGTCGACAGGTTCTCTTACCCACTAAACACTTGTGCTCCAAGTGTACAGTGCAAACAGAGGGTGTACTTCTAACATACACCACCTCAGCGCATGTGTCTACAAAGGCCATACAAGGCATGTACTACCAACCCCGATACACAACCAGGTTATACTGGGCGCAAAGTGTACACTATGTATACCCGCCCAAACAAGGATTGCGCTTCATACTATCTCAGTGCTCCTTTTTTAATAGAATTTTCATCTATGTAATTTGGTATTGGTTTATTTTCATTAATAATAACATAACATCACAACTATCAGCAGGAAGCATACTATCATGCAAGCAGGCTAGGAGGCTCTTCATCCTGGTACCGTGCAAGGATCGGGGACGCTACCTTCACTGCTAACCACACAACGATAGCACGTTAGTGAAGATTTTGCAAAGATCCACGTCGAATGTCTCTCGAGTGGACACGAGTTTGAATCGTGGCACCCTGTAATACGGCTATAAAGCCGTCGTCGCCTGCAAAGACAAAATCAGAGAAACAAATTTCGTCATGTTGCAATAATCTAAGAGCACCGTGAAACAAGGAGAACAAGGAGTCTCTTGACGTGCTCCCCTATACTGACCAATCGCCTGCAAAATTAGACGTCACAACCGTCGTCGTGGGGTTAGTGAAAGAGCATGATGAAAAAAAAAGCCGTGGAACACGACCAGTTTAGTACAGGCATGAGTTAGATCTTTCTACATTCACTCCAGATGCAAAAGAGAAAACGCACTCACGACGGTTACTATTAAACTTGCGACATCACATCGAGATCTCATTAGTATAGGGAGTGACAAGCGAGTGTGCGGAATAACTAGAATGTAGACTTAGAAAGTGGCGGAGAGGAAGAACTACGCAAATGTAGAAGGAGGAATGCACCTGGAGGTGGAGAACTGATACATTTAGAAAGACGGGAAGACTATTTGGGTATGGAACACAAGGATGTTTTCTTAGAACTTAGGTATGATGAGATTAGGTCAAAGGGGGGGGTACAAGGAGAATGTCGAGGGAAATTTTGTACCCCCTAGTGCTACCCCACTAAAGCCTAGATCAATCTAGCACAGATATAACATTTGACACACCCCCATAGGCAAACTGGGGGAGAACAAGGGGTCACAAGACCAGTCAAGAGAAGCAAAGCAAGCTCAGGGTGGATCACAACGTCACCACACACTCTGAGACAAAGCAGAGGGCCACAAGGCCAGTTCACATGCAGAGGTATATAAGCAACAAAAACAGCACAGTGATCACTACCTAGCAGATGTAAGCATGCAGGTACATATATATATGGATCACAGTACAAGCAAAGCCTACAGCAAGTGTGGAAACGTAGGCACAAGACCTAACAAGGTACAAAAGCGCTGATGATCACCAGACGGAAGTGCCTTGGTGAATATATCAGCAGTGTTGGCCCGAGTGGCCACGTGTGCAAGTCGAAGCTGACCACGCTGCTGCAACTCTCGAGCCAGGAAGTAACGCAGAGCGATGTGCTTCGTTCTGTGCTCCAGTCTGTGCTCCTCACACAAGGCAATGGCAGCCTTGTTGTCGACGTACAGAACTGGAAGAGAACGAGGCCGCTCTCCCAAGTCGGTTAGCAGGTAGGTGAGCCAGCGCAACTCCTGAGCAGCCATGGCTGTGGCGTAGATCTCAGCCTCACAACTGGAGCTGAGAACAGAAGACGAGCGAGTAGAATGCCAAGAAACAGAACCAGAGCCAAGGCTGAAAGTGTAACCCTGTGACAACCGCTGCGTAGCCTGGTCGTCAACCCAAGAAGCGTCTGAGTGCCCAGTGAGGACCACCTCTCGCCGTCCTCCAAGCACGAGCCCCATGCCCGATGTACTGCACAAGTAGCGCAGTACCCTCTTCGCAGCATCCCAGTGCACCTTTCGGTGCCGACCAGGAGCCACGTAACGGGCCAGAAGGCCAAGGGGGTACGCAAGGTCAGGACGAGTGCAAGTCATCAGGTACATGAGGCAGCCCACTAGCTCTGGGTAAGGACCACTCGGCTCTACGGACTCGTCCGAAGGTGGAGCTGAGAGCGAGTGACCTGTAGCCAGAGGAGTGGCCTGTGGAGAGGACCAGGTGAAGCCAAAGCGCTGAAGGACCTGCTGCACCATGTGTGACTGAGTCAGTGTGATGGTGCGGCGTGCTCTGTCTCGGGTGATCTGCAAGCCAAGGTAGCTGCGCAGCTCACCCAGGTCAGTACACGTGTGTCTCTTCTGCAGCTCCGACTTCACCAAGGCGAGAGCCTCAGTGTCAGCAGTGGCAAAGACCAAGTCATCGACGTACACGAGGATGTAGAACGGCGGCAGAGAAGTGTCGGTGCGTAGAAACAGCGACGGGTCAGCTGTCGAAGGTGCAAACCCAAGAGCCGCAAGTGTAGTTCTCAGTGTGTCGTGCCACTCACGTGGTGCCTGGCGGAGACCGTAGACTGGCCGGCGGAGGCTCCACTGGGTACCAGGAGGGAACGACCCAGTGAAGCCAGGTGGACGGCGTAGCCAGATCTCCTCGTGCAGGCTGCCCTGTAGGAAGGCTGTGCTAAAGTCCAGCGAGTGAAGCTCGTAGTCACGCTGAGCGGCAACGTGCAGTAGCACCCGAAGAGTGGTCATCTTCGGGGTGGGGGAGAAGATCTGGAAGAAGTCGACTCCCTCTCGCTGACTGAAGCCTCTAGCAACGTAACGAGCCTTGAAGACAGGCGGAGAACCTGGCGGCCGCTTCACCCTGAAAATCCACATGCCATCGACAATGTTCGCCCCGGGGGGGGGGGAACCTCATCGACGTACGTGCCTGTGGACTTCCAGGATGCCATCTCTGCGTCCATTGCTGTCTGCCACTGAGAGGAGTAGTCACCCGCGATCGCCTCAGCGTAAGAGCGCGGGGTAGGGATGTCTATAGCATCCGGGTCTCCCTCAGGGGCAAGCAGCATGGCCACAAGATGAGGCGCAGCGGCTGCAAGACACTCAAGGTCCTCGTGCCTGTCCTCAAGGACGTCCGTGCCAAGAGCACACTCACCCCCGACGGACGGAGGACAGACAGACTCAGACTCAGCAACCAGACTAGCAGCGTAGTCCAGACGACAGGCAGCAGCAAAGTCAACAAGCTCAGCGACCAAGGCAGACGCAGCAGCAGACTCAAAAGAAGGGTCAGTGACAACAGTGGCGAGCAGACGCGTGACAGTAGGGTGCGCAGCACGAACGCGGTCAGACTCAGGGTCGGGAACGTCAGGTAAAGAGGACGCAGGAGGAGACGGCAGAGGAACAGACTGTGGAACAGAGGAAGGACGACGGACGACAAGGTGCGCGGTGGGGACAGTCGGCGAACGCGGACGCGGAACACGACGAGCGGTACGACGAGAACTAACAGGCGAGACAGGACGCGACGCAGGCTCACGACGCTCAGTAAGACCGCCGGACTGCTCAGTGTAGGGAGAAGGAACAGGCAGCGGTGAGCCAGGCTGTAACGGAAGACCAGTAGAAGACGGAAGGCTAAGAACCTGGCGAAGCACAGAGTCAGTAGGTGGTAGCGACGACGGGGACGGCGGAGCGAAGAACAGTCGCGGCTGCGCAGTGCCACCAGCACCAGCAGCTCCAGTACCCCCAGCAGCTCCAGAACCTCCAGCAACTCCACCACCCCCAGTGTCAGCTCCACTAGGACCAGCTCCACCAGCAGTAGCACCCCCAGAACCGGCACCTCCAGTCCCAGGGTCTCCAGACGCAGTGTCACCAGCAGTAGCACCCTCAGGTACAGCACCACTAGCCCCGGCAGCTCGAGTACCAACGGTACGAGCACATCCGGGACCCGCGACGGCAGTACCTCCAGTAGACAAAGAACCAACACCACCAGCTGCAGAGTCCCGTGTACCAGTAGTGCGACGCTGACGACGACCGTACCAGTCCTGCAGCTGCTGAGGGGTGAGGGGCACACGTGGACGAAGACGGCCACCCCAAGGAGGCGGCGCAGCAGCAGACTCAGCACCCCCAGACGGCGCACCCCCAGACTCAGCACCCCCAGACCCCTCACACGCAGGCTCAGCACCTCCAGGCTCCGCACCTCCAGGCTCCACACCTCCAGGCTCCGCACCACCAGACTCCACTCCTCCAGGCTCCGCCCCTCCAGGCTCCGCTCCTCCAGGCTCCACACCTCCAGGCTCCACACCTCCAGGCTCCGCACCACCAGACTCCGCCCCTCCAGGCTCCGCTCCTCCAGGCTCCGCTCCTCCAGTCTCCACTCCCTGAGGCTCCACACTCGCAGGCTCTGCCCCTCCAGACCCAGCACCCCCAGGCTGCTCATGCGCAGGCTCCGCACCCCCGACGGTTTCCTGCCCGCCGCACGCCCCGGGCGCGCGCGGCGGTTTCGTCGCCCGTCACGGCACCCTGGGGGCCCGCGCGCCGCCCTGCCCGTCGCCCGTCGCGGCACCCTGGGGGCCCGCGTCGCCCCCTCTCGTCGCCCGTCGCGGCGCCCCGGGAGCCCGCGCGCCGCCCTGCCCGTCGCCCGTCGCGGCGCCCTGGGGGCCCGCGCGTCGCCCCCTCCCGTCGCCTGTCGTGGCGCACTTGGGGCCTCGTCGTAGCCGCGGAGCTAGTTACTCCAGTAGTCCGGATGCCCTCGCGTGTTCGGTAGCCAGTGTGCCAGTTGCTCCAGTAGCCCGTGTGCCAGCAGCTTCAGCCGCCGCCTCCAATCTTCTCTCCTCTCACAGTCCCTCCTCCTCCTCACTTGCCCTCTATGACTGCCTCTAGCTCTGCTTGTGCTTGTGAACTTCTTATGCGACTGCTTGCTGTGCTGATCAGGTCCCTGTCAGTAATAACGGACTGGAATGATGAACTAGCAAGGATTGTGAGTACAAATATGAAACCCTAATGTTGTGACCCCCCTATAGGCTAACCCACTACAGCCTACACAAATACAACATGTATAATGTTTGACACACCCCCATAGGCAAAGTGGGGGA